AATGTTCTCTTGAACCACAATTGAAGCATTCTCCGATAGTATATGCTCTATCTGAACTATCGGGCCTTCTTAAAGGTTTTTCCTTTTTGTGAAAAGCCGCCCTGCATTTTCGCAAGTTATCTTCAGTAATCAGTCTGCCAGATAACACTTCTAAAGATAAGTTATTACAACTAACATTATCCAGTTGCGATATAAAATTATCCCAGCTAGGGTCAAGGGAATTGAGTATAACAGTAATGAGGGTCTGTTCAGACACTGTTTCCCCCCTCAACATCAATTCCTGCCTTAACCTGTTTAACTCACATAAGTGTTCATTAATATCTACTCCCGCCTTCAACTTTGCGGAATAGAACTCCCTATAAACTCTGTTTGTAACATGGGAGCTTTTTGAACAAAATAGCTTATGTAGTTTCAGCCAAACTTCTGTTACGGTCAGGTTACTAGGTATACTGGGATATAGTGCAGGGTTAATGGACATCAATAAAATACAAAAGGCCTTATGGTGTAAAATATCAACTTCTAAGGACCATGGTCTAGGTGGGGGTTTTAACAGCAACGATAAAACATTTTCTTTCATTAAAATTACTTGAATACTTTTAACCCATTCCTTAAAATTTCCTCCACCCACACTTAAACTTTTAAAATTAGGAGGAAGGACCTGTACATTATTAAACATGGAAATAGACATTAATTGATGTTCAAAATGTGGTCCGTCCTGGAACGGGCAATAAGGCATTGGAATGGAAGCACACAGCACAGTGTCTTCCATCTGGCATTCTGACGATCGTTTCTCCCCAATGGGAGGGATTAAAACTTCACGTTGTGCGGATGCAAAACTCATCCTGGCTTGATCACAAAAACTCGAGGGTCCTCTCTGGTGCACATCTCTAGGAATTTTTGGACGCGCTCCCAAATTCCTATCTTCAGTTGAGGTAGCCTCCGGAACCGTCCTGGATGTCGATGTCGTCACGGATGGATATATCCCACTCGTGGCGTGCACTGAATTTGTCGCAGACATCAGGGGGGCTTTGGGATGCGCAGCTCCTATTTGTTGAGCCGATGGTGCCTGCAAGCCATCGCCTAAAATGGTTGCCAAAGTCTCTATCACACTTGCAACCTTACGCTCAACATGAGAGTCTCTTAAATTTTTAGCAGAAGCCACTGATGTCATCAAGGGAGCTAAAGTCTTTATAGCCTGATCTATGATGGCTTCAACAGCAGGTGGCGCAATGTCAACTTGGCCATGCTGGTTTAACAAAGAAGCAGGAACATTTGAATCAGGCAGTCTGTTATCCCCCATTACCCACTTATGGTCTGAGGTGGGGGTTTTAGGAAAAGATTGAAAGTCTCTTACCGATCCGGTGTTTTGTAGGACTTCGATCTTCTTTCCTTTCACGGCTGAATTCTTTAATAATTCACTAGAATCAGCAGTCGGGTTCTGACTTACTGTGGGCAAACCTAAAAACTGAAGGATTGCCTTCCTAAACTCATCATCCACCTCTGTACTTGTTTTCAAGACCTGAAGTGGCGTTCTTCCAGTCTCTACTCCTTTTGGTGATGATGGTTTATTCACTATCTTAGGCCCTTCAGAAGTTGAGGCCTCTGCTCCAAAACTTATAGCTCCACTATTCTCTAAGTCAATTAGAGTTTGGGGTTTTTCAGCCAAAACATTTTTGGCCTGAGCCCCAGACAGTCCAGTTTGTGACTTCATACTTTGTGCTGCTGCTGCTGCCCTGCAGACATTCAGTCTAGCGCGTTACCACATGAGCGTAAGTTCGTTAAACCATCCTCTGCTACCAACTGTGAACGAAATGGGGTTGAGGGGTACCCCGGACCGTGAACCAGCTCATGAGTAAACACACTGAGACTGAAATGATTCTGACAGAGGCGTCTTGTGTAAAAATATAATTTACTTTAAAACATTTAAAAAGCACTATGTCTTTAAGAAAACACATTAAAAACAAAGTCTTATCTGGGTATGTGAAACAAGGCTATCTCCCTAGATCCCTCTCCACAATACCAAAACAGTTCACGAAAGAATAAAGCTAGCATGAAGGTAAGCAGCTTCGGCGTCGATACATCATCAAGGCAATCATAATGGGAGCAGCACGAGCTTCACAGCTGAAAGTCACCTGAAGTAAAAACAGTTCAAAAAGCAAACATTGCTTGAAGCTTGTGGGAGGAAGAAGGTCCAGCAACAGCAGTCCCGATGATAGCTTGCGTGCTACAAAACAGCAAAAGGCAAGCATCCGTGGGAGTCTCTCTGTAGCAGCGTCTGGAGTCCTTATCTGCATTCTTCTCCCATCTGCGGCGGTTGCAACAAGCTTCCTGCAGGAGCTGTGCATTTAGGCCTAGATCAGACTAGGCCCAAGTAGCAAGCAAAAGGTCCTTGCTTATATAGGGAGTCAACCTGCAATTAACTAGGGCGGGGAAGGCTTGCAGGTAATTGCCAACAGCAGATGGCTTGATTAAAACCATACTGTTTGTGAGTAGGCAGATAGCCACAGCAATCCTGGAAACACTCGTGACAAGATTGGTAAAACTACCTTTCTCTAAAGGTAAAATCTTGTAAGATGTTCCTACCAAGGAAATGTATCTGATCTCTTGGAAATTAGTTTAAAATAATGTCACGCTCTTGACAGGAAGGCCTTGCATGAAGTCAATTAACTCTGGAATTAAATTCCTCCTAGTTACATTTATCTTCCCTTCCTGGTTGAGAAGAATTCCTGGAAATCCTTAGCCCAAGATAAACAAACTCAACTTAAAATCTTGATTGCTTCTACAGTTATTATTATAATACAAGAGTATTGAAGGTGATTTATTCCAGTTTATAGACATCTTACATTTGGCTCTTTACTCTAATTCTATCAAAGCATGCAAAGAAATTATTTTATAATTTCTAATTATTTAAATTTATAATTTATAATTATTTTATAATATAATTATATTTTCTAATTTGAGGAAACAAGAACACCATTAAAATACAGTATCAGAAATAACAATGGATCAATAATCCATTATTATATAATAATATACTGTAATTTAATCAACCAACCAAAGCAGCTGTTGAAATTGTAGCTTTCATATTTTTATCAAGCAAATAGTTCTGTAATAATTATAGTGGAACTCATGCTCAACTCAAGAATAACTTGCTCAGTTAAAACTAAAGTAATGTAGATGGCTTTGAGAAAAGCTTATTCTATCTAAGAATAACAGAAAACAAAAAATGGTCAATATACTTTTTATATTAATATTCTGGAAAACCATCGGGGCAATGAATGCTTTTCAACACCACAGAATAATTGTCACAGTCACTGGACATGAAGAGCATGTAGCCAAATTAACCACAGAAAATTATAGTATGAAAAGAACTCAGGTTCTGTAAACAAAACAAAACCCAAAACTTCTATTCCCGCTTCTCTTGCTGAAGCTTCTGTGCGGCCCCCATTTGTATCTTGAATAGATCACATTAATTTGAATCTGGAAGGCAGCATCATATTGGGCTTCCTCCAAAACCATCTGCTTTATGCCATGACTAACAATTCTACTTTGGAAAAAAGCTTCTGTGCAATTGTTTGGTCTTGAATAAATGCTGCAGCAGTGCCCCATGCTCAGACAGCAATTTCCCTGAGGTCCTGTTAATGCCAGTAATGACCCAGATGCAGCTCCCATCCTGCTCAGCTCTGGACAGGTAGAATTCTGGGTTCCTAGGTGAGGAAGCCAAGCCTTGACCAAATCCCAAGGACAGAGTTTCTCCACCTTGGCAACTGTAAGGGGTGTGGACTTCAACTCCCAGAATTCCCCACCCAGGGAGTTGGGTCCACATCAGAGGTGGGTTTCAGCAGGCTTTGAACAGTTTGGGAGAACCGGCAGTGGAAATTTTGAGTAGTTCGGAGAACCGGTAGTAAAAATTCTGACTGGCCCCTCCCCCATCTATTCTCTGCCTCCTGAGTCCCAGCTGATTGGGAGGAAATGGGGATTTTACAGTATCCTTCCCCTGGAGTGGGCTGGGAATGGAGATTTTACAGTATCCTTCCCCTGCCACGCCCACCAAGCCATGTCCACCAAGCCATGCCACGCCCACCAAACCACACCCACAGAGCCAGTAGTTAAAACTTTTGAAACCCACCATTGGTCCACATGTCTTAAAGGTGGAGAAACCCTGTTCTAGGAGGAAGGGCAGCCCTCTCTGGGAAGGCTCAAAGCCTCTTGCAGAAGAGTTCAGGCTGGTGCTTGACTTGTGGAATAAATTGCAATGGACCCTATTATTTTACTGTCAACCCCCTAGAACAGCTAAGGACTGGTCACTGATGGTGAATTTAGACTAGACTAGACTAGAATAACAGAGTTGAAAGGGACCTTGTAGGTCATCCAGTCCAACCCCACCGCCAAGCAGACCCTACACCATTTTTGACAGATGGCAGCCCAGTCTCTTCTTGAAAGCTTCCAGTGAGGAACCCCCACAACTTCTGAAGGCAACTTCTGTTCCATTGGCTGATTGTTCTCACTGTCAGAAAATTTCTCCTTATTTCTAGGTTGAATTTCTCCTTGGTCAATTTCCATCCATTATTCCTTGTCTGGCCTTCAGGTGCCTTGGAAAACAGCTTAACCCCCTCCTCTCTGTGGGAGCCCCTCAAGTATTGGAAGACTGCTATCATGTCTCCCCTGGTCCTTCTCTTCACTAGACTAGCCATGCCCAGTTCCTGCAACCGTTCTTCATATGTTTTATTCTCCAGTCCCCTAATCATCTTGGTTGCTCTTCTCTGCACTCTTTCTAGAGTTTCAACATCTTTTTTATAATATGGTGATCAAAACTGGATGCAATATTCTAGGTGTGGTCTTACTAAGGCTTTCCAAGCTAGTTCTCCAGGAAGAACATTTCCTAATCTGGTATCACCAGAATCTCACCACCCAGAAGCCAACTGTGATTCTTCCCCAGCTGGGGCCCTGCCTTGGTTAATCAAGAGGCCCCTGGGGGCCAAGAGCTTTTGCTCATTTACCTTTTAGGACATTGAGAATGAAGAAAAGGACTGCTCCAGCTGCTGGCCTTGGGGCTGAGAATATGGTATATTTGTCCAGTGACATATTCACAGGTTTCATCAGTTCAACATGATAATTCTTGAGGTCCTCCAATGTCAAGGTGCCACCTAAACAATGATAGGAAAAAGGAGTGAATCTTTCAATCCTCCTAGGAGGCAATACTTTTCAGAAAGGAGGTGCATGGTGTCTCCCTCTCAACTTGAAGCCCCAGGAGAGGCTGCAGACCAGGAGCAGATTTGAACCTTAAAGCTGCCATAGTGTCCAACAGAGATGGCCTTCAAAACTATCAGCAGCTAACTCTTCTCTGCCCCTTTTTCTGGAAAGAAAATCTTGGATTATATATCTGTAATAAGTGGACTTTTGTGCAACTTCATACGAGAGACATTTTGGAAAAGTGAGACTGCTGGGAAGACCACTGGCTAGTGTAGCCATTTAGGGCCCTTCCCCACTTGAACCAAACTGTGATACAAACATTGTGATTTTATCTTTTTCTTATCTGCAGCCCAAACCTCAGTGTCAGGCTTGCCTCCGTTCAAAGCTCAAGAAAGAAAAACCCCATGTTTGTAGAGAAAGGTACTTTTACTGAGTATGAACTGAATGCAGCGAAAGAAAAGCAAAGTCTGAGGCAATAGGTGTGAAAATTACATATTGAAAGTATCCCCCAAATCCCTTTCCCCACAGTCCCAAGGCAAATGTCCAATCCACATCTCCCCAAGGTGTCATGTGGGGCACTTCTTTAGGCGGCCCCATCTACCTGGTATGCCGGAACGGTTGATCTTGGCAGTTATCAGCCCTCTTTGCAGCTGCTAAAAGACAGCGAGAATTTTCCTCCCTTTTTCGAAACATCTCCACCAGTTCGCTTCCCCCTCCCAAATACCTATAATACCTCCCCTCTCCTGTTACAATGGCAGCCGAAAGCAAGCAAGCATCATGAGGCTGACATTCGGCCCTCCTGCAGAAGAGACGTTAGTCCTTAAAAAAGAAACAATGGAAATAGACAGAATAGAAGCAAATGATAAAATATCCAACATACATATAATATGTATAAATCCCAACTTGTTAAGGGTATTTACTGTGAAATTTTTGTAAAAGTTTAGGAGCCTTAACATCTTGCTCATTCACCCATTCCGATTGAGAGGAAGGGAAATGTTTCCAGGCCACCAAGTACTGTACTCTACCCCTATGTTTCCTGGAATCAAGGATTTCTTTGACCTCAAAATGTTGCTCCCCTTCAATGAGAAGTGGGACCGGAGGGGAGGTCAAGTCGAATCAAGGAGGCATGTACAGGTTTCAGCAAACTTACATGGAACACCGGGTGGATTCTCCGGAGAGTTTTGGGTAGCTCCAACTGTACTGTGACCGGGTTTACAATTCGCACAATGGGAAACGGTCTAACGTATTTGGGGCCAAGTTTTTCCAACTTTTGGGTAGTTTGTAAGTACTTAGTGGAGAGGACAACCCTATCACCAACTTGGTAATTCCTTGGCATAGCCCTTTTCTTTTTTCTTTTTTTTTTTTTTATTGAAAAAGTTTTTCAAATACAGATTTTTCCCCCTTTTTCCCCCCCTCCTCCCCCCCACCCCCCCTCCCCTTGACTTCCTCATAGTAAAACCCAAGTTCATAACAGATTATATCATACTTTACTATCCACATACTCAATCTCCATATACTAACCCTTTCATTTTAATAAGATTATCATACCCCCCGTATACTATGCTATAATAAGCATTTCAAAGTGACATTCTATTATAACATTATCTAATAACTCCTAATTTAAAATAATAATATTATTATATCTCCCAATTTAACAATTTCTACTCGTAGTCTACCCTTTTACTACCCCTCAGACAATATAACATTTCAAAACATACTTCTATTCTAAGTATTCAAAAAGTCCTAATTTAACACTTATTCAGTTCCAGTAGCCATTTCGTTTCCCCCCTTCGTTACAAATATTCACATCTAAACATTTCTTTAAAATAGACAATCCATAACCTAACCTTTCTCCACCCACTTTCCTACAGAATTACCATAATTATTCTTAATATCTTTATTCTTCTACCCCATCCCCTAGAAAAATATTCCCTTATGTAAATAAGATCCTAAAAGAAAAAAAAAAACTTTAAACTTATGATCCATATAGCATCTTCTGGAATATCTTTCAACTGGATGATGAACTCCACCCATGTTAGGGTAACATCGCATCCTTATTCCAACAGTATTTTCGATATCTTCAGTTACCATCTGCCCCCATCAGCAACAAATATCTTCATATTGGAAAAGAAAAAACCCCGACAACCACCCGAGTGACTTTATAATTATATTCCATATAATGTTTATGGAGGTGTCTTTGATCCAGATAATTGGTTCCAACCATCATAATAGGGTAACAACCAGATCTTCTGCGTGCCCCAATCCAATAAGTCTCTTGCCATATAGCTCAGCATACACGTATTTATCCGGAACTCCAAAAAACAAACAAGATATTTCCAACCATTTGGTTTAAGGCCTTTTTCACACCCAATAATTCAGCACTGCAGAGATCTGCCACTCTCCTCAGGATAAAATAAGCCAATATTTTGCCCATTATCTTTTTATATATTCAGTCCTCTCATAAGTAACTGGCATTACACTGTTGTTTGATTTAAAAGTTTTTATGTTTGTGAGACCTACTTCTTCTTTTCTTAACTTCTCGTGGGTTGGATCTCCATCCTAAACTCCTTTCTGTAGATTGTGTATCAACTATTTGGTTTTGCTGAAGAGTAGCTTGATCCTGTTGGGTTTGCATCTGTGGCTGAGATCTTTCTGGTTCTGTAAATTGTATATCAGCTGATTGACTTACATGCTCGTTTGTGGCTTGACAAATCATTGCATTAGGGTCCGGAACCGCCTCTCTTATATTAGATAATCCAGCTGAGGCCTCTGAAAGAGGATCCAAAAGCGGCTCATCTATGGAGACCTCTTTAATTTGTTGTTTCTTCGTTATTTCCATCTCCTTCTGCTTTTCTTGGGTTTCTATCTCTTGTTGATTTTGCTTTTTAAGTACCTTATAATAGAATTCTTCCGCTTTTTCAAGAGTATTTAACTGATATCTTACTCCTTGATATCTCAATATTATACCCACTGGGACATCCCACCTGTATAAGATATTCTGTCTTCTTAACTCAGTCACCAAGGGCCCAAATTTCTTTCTATCTCTTAAGATCTTGGGCGGCAATTCCTTATATATCCAAATTTTTCTCCCATTCAGTTGTAAAGTAGAGTTAAAGGATTTTTGCAGAATATCATTTCTTATCTCTTTTTCTGTAAAGTAAATTACCACATCTCTAGGCAATTGCCTTTGCTTGGCAATCCAGGAATCCACTCTGTAAGCCTTATCAATTTTACTGATTACGTCCCCGTGATGAACCTTTAAGATCCCAGCCAAAACTTGAGCAGATGTTTTTCTTAAGTCATCACTATTATTTTCCTGTAAGCCTCTAATTCTGATCGCAAATTCTGTGATCCTGTATTGCAACATTACAGCCTCTCTTTCAATTCCTTGCTTTATATCTTCTAGATTATAAGTCTCGTGACCAACTTCTTCTTTAGACTTTACTTCTAAGCTATTATCTCGAATATTTGCTAAGTCCTTTTCAATTCTTAATATTTTATTGTCCAAGTTATCAATTTTCTCCATTTTAGACTCTAGCAATTTAATATTTGTATCCAACTTTATCGCAATTTCTGAAAAACCATTAGTCACTGTTACAATCTTTTGTTGCAAATTATCATACTTTAGTTGTATCATTTCTTTAATTTCCTGCCTTAAATTTTCAAATTTCTGATTCACAGTTTCATAATATTTTGCCATTTCCTCCTGAATAAATTCTTTTAAATTACAACCATTCTGCAGGGTCTGTAGGCTCAGAGAGTGGGGGAGCACCCCCCCTTTCTTGTCTGTCAGCTTTTATTAACGCCATCCTTCCAGCAGACTTTTCTCTTTTACCCCCCAAACAAGATCAAGTAATCACCAGGAAGAGAGGAACCTAAAATAACTATTGTTTCAAATTGTAGCCAACACTGTATATTCCGCAACTTTGTATCTGTTATAAAAAGACTCTTCTTTCTTCTACTTCCCAAGCCTCCGCGGCCATTTTAAAACTTTTTTTTTTCCTTCTCTTCACTTTAAAATGCTTGTAAATTCATTAAAAATACTTGCGGTTTAGGGTCCCAAATCCAAATCCAAATCTCATATTTTTTTTTTTTTTTTTAGTAGATCCATCTGTTAAGTTCATTGATTAGTCCGGTTCCAGCGCCTGGCTATGCAAAAGTGCATAGTGCACCCGATGCCTGGAGCGGCGGCGAGGGAAAAAGGGGGAGCGCCAACCTGCTCGTCCCCAAGAGTTTAAAAAGACTCTGGGGACTTCGCAGAGGGCTCTACCCACCCCCACCCGCTCAGACTCGCATTTCCGTCGGGAAATGGAGTTTTTCGAGCCGCCTTTCAGATGTAAAGGCGGCTCTTTTACAGGCAACGGGGCGGCGGTCGCAGAGGACCGTCTGGCGGCACCGGAAACCAGACAGGAAGTGTCGCCCTTTTCTTATCCGCCTGTTTCTTATGGGCTCTATGAACCTCATCTAACGCCTTATGTGCTACAGGCCAGGTAACCTGTAGCTGTTCAATCCATTCTACAAAGGATGGAATTTGAGGCTTTTCCTGTGGTGACTCCGGGATAGGCACAAAGTCCTGACCACTTTGAATGGTGTAAACCCAGTACTTCTATGTATGGAATTATTATAAGCCACCTCTTCAAACGGTAGTAAATCTGTCCAGTTATCTTGCTTTTACATAACACCTGAGGTATTGTTCCAACACCGAATTAGCTCTTTTGCAAGCCCCATTAGTCTGAGGATGGTGGGTGGAGCTTAGCCCTTGGGCAGAACCTAACAATTTCAGAAATTCCCTCCAAAAGTGGGAGGTGAATTGAACCCCTTTATCAGAAATAATTCGTTCTGGAACCCTGTATAACCTATAGACATTGTTGAATAAACAATTTATCCAATGTCCTCACTGAGGGAATTTTTGAACAGGGTACAAAGTGCACTTGTTTGGAGAACAAGTCTGTAA